CCGCCGGAGCCGCGCCGCCGCCCGAGTCCTGCCACTTGAAGTGACTTCATGTGATGTCAGCTGAATGTAAAAGACAGTGATCTCACGCGGAGGGGAAGATGTTTGCCATCAAAATGTGACAGAGGAAACGGGCTGCATGGCTCAGAAGGCGTCTCCTCGGCGGTGGGGGAAGGAGGTAAACGCTCCGCGCCTCTCCGGCTCCCCTTTAACTTGGCCCCTTCGCTGTCCGGCGCCCAGCACGCGCGCCCGAGCCCGGGGTCTAGCGAACGGCCCAGGGGGGTTCATTCGAGGCTCTTTCCTTTCTTTCCCTCTTTCTCTCTCTTTCTTTTTCCTTTGTAAACCCTCCCCCTTCTCCCCCGTTCAAAGTCCCGGGGCCGGGGGCTGGTGGGTTCCTCCGCGCGCCGCCTTAAGGGGCCGGAATTTGGTACCCTTGGGTGCACTTTGTTCTGCCCCCGTTCATTTGAATGCAAATGGGTGACCTGGACCTGACAAGGTGCTTATTAAACTGCGGTTTCCCTCCCTGCCTTTCTCGGAATGCAGACTTAGAGGGGAGAGGCTGCGCCCCGGCCCCGTCCCGCACGGCTCGGCGCGCCATGGCGAGCTCGGCTTCCCTGGAGACCATGGTGCCCCCGGCCTGTCCGCGAGCCGGAGGGTCGCCGGCCACTTCCAAGACGCTGGCCTTCTCCATCGAGCGCATCATGGCTAAGACGTCGGAGCCCCGTGTGCCCTTTGAGCCCCGGCCCGGGGCCCTGGAGGCCGACGGCGGCCAGGGCAAGAAACTGCTCAACCTCTGCTCGCCGTTGCCCTGCATGATCCCCCTCCAGCCCCTAGGCTACGACGTGCCGTCCAAGACGCTGCTCAGTTACTCCGAGCTCTGGAAAAGCAGCCTCCGGGCGGGCGGCGGCGGCGGCGGGGGGGCCTCGGTGTGCGGCGCCAGCGGCCTGTGCAAAACCAACTGTGGCGTGTGCTGCAAGGCCGAGCTGGGCCTGGCGCCCTCGGCGCTGCCCGCCGGCAGGGTCATCAAGCCGCAGGTCATCAACCACGCGGTGGGGCTGCCGGCCAGCGGCTCGCTCTACTACTTCAACTACCTGGACTCCGCCGCATACCCTCCCTCGGAGCTCCTAGGCGGCCACCTCTTCCCGTCCGGCCTCCTCAACGCACAGGGCCCCACCTCCCTGGCTGCGCACCCCAAGCTCTTTTTGCTGGAGAACGCCAAGTTGGCTGGCCTGGCCGCGGACAAGTTCCCCCATGCGGCCCCCTACGCGCATAAGGAGCGCTTGCCCGCGCCCCTGGAGCAGGTGCTCAAGGAGAACTCGGCCCTGAGCGCCGAGCGCGGCGGCGTCAAGGGTCACGGCAAGCTGCCCGGCGCCTCGTCGGACGGCAAGCCCAAGAACTTCACCTGCGAGGTGTGCGGCAAGGTGAGGCCTGGGGCCCGTGGGGTCGGGGAGGGGAGAGCGGCGGTGGCCGCTTTCTTGGGGCTGCCTGGCACTCCCCTTTCTCAGGTTTAGGAGGTCCTCAGTAGCTGTCTACTCAAATCAGGGGCCTCAGTTTCTTGTTCTGTGAAATGGGGATGCCGTAGTCACTGGCCAAGCAGAACCGGCGTGAGCAGAGGGTCCGGAAGCCCTTTGCAAAGTGAAAAGGGCTCTGGTGGGGGCGGGGGGCGTGTTGCTTGGGCAAGGTAAGCTGTGGCCTCCCCGGGCTGATGCTTGACTCTCCGATGGACACAGCACAAGGCCCCCCTCGTGTCCTTCCTTAGGTGTTTAACGCTCACTATAACCTCACCCGCCACATGCCGGTCCACACCGGAGCCAGACCGTTCGTGTGCAAAGTCTGCGGCAAGGGCTTCCGCCAGGCCAGCACGCTCTGCAGACACAAAATTATCCACACCCAGGTACGTGGCCCCGGGTCCAGCCTGGCCTGCGCGCAACACCCCGCACCTGAGCTAAGTCGTTGGGGAGAGGATGGCCAAGGGTTCCCCGTGCCCCTCCCGGAGAGCCCGTGTCCCTTCAAGGTGCTCCTTCAAGGTACCCCCGAGGTGGCCTTTTCCTGCCGGGCGCCCAGCCTCACTGTGTGTGCGCCCCTCTCCACAGGAAAAGCCTCATAAATGCAACCAGTGCGGCAAAGCCTTCAACCGCAGCTCCACGCTCAACACGCACATCCGCATCCACGCGGGCTACAAGCCCTTCGTCTGCGAATTCTGCGGCAAAGGCTTTCACCAAAAAGGTAAGGTTCCGGGCGAGGCCCTCCACTCATCTCACCTGGGGATTTGGTGGGTCACGGCTAGCGGGAAGGCAAAAAGATCCGGAGAGAGGGAACGTGAGACCTGCAGGCTCGGGCGCAGCATTTCTTTAGAATCGGGTTGTGCAGGGTTTGGGTAGAAGCTCTCCGGCCCGTTAGCAGACCTCGCTGGATTCAGGTTGGCTGCACGGAGAGACTCCGAATTTGGGAAGTGGCAAGTAAGGAAGGCAGGGACGGGGGAAAGAAAGTCGGAGAGAGAGTATTGCCCTATAGAAAACGCTTCCCTTTGTAGCCGGAACTCCCCTTTCTAATGAAAAAAAAAAAAAAAAATCTAGGCAAAATCCACCACCTGCGAACAACTTAAGACTCCCGGAGCAGCTACTGTCCCCAGCACCCCCAACCCCGCCCTTCTTGGATTTTCCAAAGCTTTGTGGGATCTCCAGGTGGTAATTGGGGGACCAGAGGGAGTAATTTTTTAA